TCTATTTCAATTTGGTTTAAACTTGGCTTTACTGAACAGAGGTTAGTTTGTATTTGTGCGACCGAGCTCTGCTAAATTCTAAATCCGGATTTACTCATTTTAAACCTAGTTTTTCTAAACTAATTAAAACTAATCCCAGATGAAATGAATCCTTGCTGGTGCAACGCGGCCTAAGAGGAGTGAGGAGTCAGCAGTGAATCCCCATAACCATGAGAGGTCCTTGAGCATACAGTCATGAATGAGCACACAAAATATTGGGCTGGTGGGTCCAGCAGACTTATTGATTAGCTGTGGAGAGACAGATCTAATGAACTGAGGAAGCTTTGTGTTCATTTTTGAAATTATAAAAGCAAATGTGATTAATTACTGGACCAGAATTAAGAGAATGATTCACTGCAGCAGGCGCCAACAATAAAACTATTTCTATGAATTGTCTCAAAGCGTGCAGGAAACATCTACAGCCAGCACCCTCATGCGCAAGGGTGCGAGGGTCCGATCAATGCTGCTGGCAGCTTTAATTTGATTTATTACCGCGGTAAACATGAATTCATGGTCTCAATAATTAGTCTCAAGTCTTCAAGCAGCATGATGTTCATTTATGTATTCATGGTCCCGTTTAGAGTAAAATAGATGATAAAGCAGGTTTTGCTTTAGGGCGTGGATAAAAAGGCAAACTCGAGGCGTAAAAACAGCAGTCCTCAAACCAATGACGTCTATCTTAAGGATATTTGTTAATGTTGTTCTGACATTGCTAATAAAAACCACCAACAAATACAGTGATCGATTTTTCACTTCAATCAAAAGACCTTCGAGGCCATCATGCATTTTAGTAACATTTGTTCTCATCCTATAAGAAAGACACATGCTGCTTTATTCTGGACCAGTTGCAAATGTGCTTGATTGATTGTTTGTTCTGTCAGATATTTTGCACATCTCTTAAATACTGACAAAACGTTTCCCATTTTAGTTCCCATATTCTTTGCGTGTGTTTATCTCGTGATCATTTGTTATACCTACGACAACACAAAGAATAGTCGGTTGAGTGTTTGCCAGAGGGAGCAAACAGAAAGAGGACTTCATATAATAGGAATTAAAGAGCACTGCATCTAGAGAAGACATGTCCTCTTGAGATGAACTCAACCCTTCTTCCCGTCGAGTGATGACACTCAGCACACGGCGGCAATAGAGTTTGATCCAAAGCAGAGGTCTTGAAATTGTAATGAAAGGGCCTTTGAAGCTCACAGGATTGAACCAGTAATATCTTGGGGTGAATGAAATTCAATATTAGATACAAGGTGTATGAATACCTGGGACTACAGCATATTGGATTTCTGCCATCTTCTGACTGGAGAGTATGGATTCCAGACGACTCTACAACCGAACACGTTGCGATGCGACACACGAGCCGTGCTATGATTGGTGTGTCTCTAGGTGTGTGTAATAATCTAATCCAGCGAGTTGTGTGCAAAGGCGTCCGTGATGAAAGTGATTCGTTGTCACGCTTGGACGCCAGGTTATCGCACACCTTCCCCCCCCGCAGACCCATTCAATCTCTTTCTCCCATTGAACCCGTCTCGCCTTCTCTGGGAGCAGCTTTCCTGTTTCTCGCTCCACCGCTGAGAAAGAGAATCGAGGCAAATTTAGCTCATGTAGTGGCACAAAGATGCAGAGTCTTTGTACGCCGGTACAATGTTTTGCGACTCTCCTCTCCCGAACCTCGCCGCGCACGCACACAACAAAACCCTTGACACAAAAACAGAGAAAGCGAGCGCATTAAGGTACTTGCCAGACAAAGGCCTCCGCAGCCTTGCAGCCGATGACGAGCAATGAAATCGTGTGCCCTTGGTTGCTTCTGGCTGTTTAGCCGTCCCAGATCGATGTGTTGCTGCCTCAGTCTGAGGCCTGTGTGCGCTTCAAAGCAGCCGAAAGTCTGCATTCAAACAAGTTGTCAGTATTGAGAAAATACAGCAAATCATCAAGATTAACAGACTGCAAGTTTGTCGAATAGCAACACTGTGAAGGGAAAAAGTAATTCAATGAACTTTAGTTACGCTATTGGTCACTTCTGCTTAGAAACACAAGCTCAGATTCCTCTTTAGGTTGAAACAAGACTAATGAAAAGCAAATTGAATTTCTACTCGTACTGTGCACTGTGCGTCAAGTTTGCAGTGAAAGTGGGACACATTAGTGGCATGCAGCTAACTGGATGTCCCTCCATTATTCACTGTCCTCATCTCTGGGACATTATAATAGCCCGGTGTACTCAGCGGCGCTCCTCTGATCGGGGCTGACACTTTATTCCTCTCTGTGGAGAGGGGTCCGGACGTTCCTCCCCCGTCTTGAGCTCTTACAAATGCGGAGCGTTAATTGGGGGTTGGGAGGTTAGTAAACTGTCAGCTGCTTGGCTCTATTAGGGGGTAATTGATGGGAGCACTTGTAGCTTTTTACTGCCTGGTGGCCAGTGTGGCCATGCTCTTTAAAACCTGTGTAGGGGACTGTACTTTATTTATTTTTTTTAAATATCAAAACAAAAGCCATCTTTGCAGTATGACATTTTTTAGATATATATTATTTATTTATATTTATTATTTTTACATATATATTTTTTTATTTATTTAAATAGACAGAAGACTTCTGCGATGAAAAATAATAAAAGTGGCTCCCCTTGCTCTAACTTCTTTTTACTAATTGATTCAGTTGCTTTTCATAACAACAATACAGCATTGTTGTCACCGATTTCTTATCTTATCAGTGCTGTCAATTCAGTTTGCCTTGTTCAGTGGGAGAGTCCGCACGTACGCCGCTCTCCTGGCTGCACAAGTAATGAACACTTTTCGTCTTCCTGCATGTCATTTTGGTGTCATGTCAGCCTCTTTCATCACGCTGCCCGTTCCTCAGAGGATTAGATTACCGCTCCATGTAAGACCCCGGTTGAGATGAGCTTTATCCACCCTGGGAATTCTGTTTCATGCTTTCTCTCCCTTAATTAAGGGTTTGTCACAAAACATAGACCTCATTGTTCTGCATCCTCTCCAGTAATACAGTACATACATTCAAAGTACTTTGGCATTGCCACAAAAAGGACAGTAAAAGAAAAGAAACAGTATCTTTTTTTTATTCTGGTTCCTTGTCAAAACTTCGACTGCCAACATTTGGGGCGTAGATTCGGGTGTGTTATAATAGTAGCATGCAGCTAATGCAGCCTTGAGCTACAAATGTCTGGTAACAGTTCACTTAAGGCCCTTTCTAAGACTTCACGCGGCTCCCTCTGGAGCCACAAAAGGCTTTACACGACAGCAGCACACCCCGAGACCTGCAAACAGACTTTGATGTACACGTGTTATCGCTGGAGTTCCCCTTTAAGACGTGTAAATGCACTTTGGTTCGCTTTCATCCCTCTCAGATCTGAAGGATGAAATTGATCCATTTTGTGTCCGCCTCTGATATGAGGTTGATTTTTACGGTGTTTTCGGCAGCTCTCCTCTCATTAAAGGCTTGCAGAGATCCAGTCAGCCCGAGCTGCAGTTTATCTGATCCAGACGCTCGCCCCTGCTCACTCCTGGTCTGACTGATAAAATCCAGTCCTCATCTTGTATACCTGACACTTGTTAGAAACCGCTGTCGGCATTTTCATTCCCGTATTGATTATTTAGGGGTTATGCCATGTTGCTCATCGCTTGTTTCGTGTCCGGGGTTTTGCTTTTCGTTGCCGTCATTTCAGAGTAGCAGGGAAGGGGCCCTTTGTTTGCGAGGGAACCACAGCGCCTTTGTGTTACTTCCACCCAAAGCCGACGATAGTTTGATAAAGAAGGTCATTAAAGCGTCATTAGGCGGTGAGCTTTGAGTCGCTGGGGCCCCGGCAGATAAAACGTGGGGGCCACTCTCAACTGGTTGGGCGGAGAGGCAGATCCTCAATGAACTCCACAGAGAGACGCCAGGCCTCACAAACAACACTCAAGAGACACCTCTCCTCCACCCACTCTGTGTTTCCTCCCTCTCATCCCCCTTTTTCTCCTCCTAACAGTCAATCCCAAAGCCCCCAGTGTGCCACGAGAACATCAGTGAAAGCTCCCCGGCCTCCTCGCCCCTGTGCTACTAGCACAACCCTTCACTGCCCACACAAACCATCGCTCTGACACTCACACAGCCGTTGCAGAGCAGCTCTCACATGAGACATCTCCTGAAATCAAGAGAGTGTAATAAAAGATGTGTTTGTTGTGTTTTCTGGAGAGCTGCTCACTTTCACAAGTTCAAGCTTTTTTTCCGGTGACCCCAGCGCTCCGAGGCTAAAAACAACTGTGACACCTGGCATTGTAATGGAAATGCAGCCGGCACTCAGAATGACTAAGAGCAGCAATGATAGCCAACAGCGCGGTCAATAGCTGCTTTGGCAGCACGGGGCCGGGAGACTGGACTCAATTTGTAAAAGTGAGCTGCTCTCTGGCTCCGTGGATGCTGAGGATGGAGTCTGAGAAAAGCTGAATGCAGCAGAAGTGCTGGGGGAGCTTTGTTTTAAGCAGCTCCTTAGTTTTGAAACGAGGAGTGCAAATGGATTTAAGGAGAAGTTTCAGTCAAATTACAGGTCGTCAGCGCTTTTGTTGTTCAATACGTTAAAAGCCCTGTTTAGGCCACTGTTGGACTCTTAAAACTATCTAGGTCATGATTTATTTATTTTAATGTAACACCAGGCTACAAATCAAGTGTCAAGTGTCACTGATGAAGTATCTAATTTACGTGCCATAGTGTAAGCTTTTTTCTACAAAACCTCTACTGCCACCAAGTGGCTTTCAGCTGGCACACCGGTCCAGATCCGAGAACGTGTGTGTTTTATTGGGGTATTTTGTATTCTCAATGAAACGGCAAGATTATATGAATGAATAACCATTTTACATGTGTCAAAATCCTCTTTTCCTGCTTGTGTTTCTGCGCTAAATCTTTCCTCTAACACCATACATGAGTCATAGTTTATGTGTCTGACCCCGGCTGTGTCTTCTCTGCAGTGTTCATCATGGCTGCTGGACTGCTGGTCTACCCCTTCGGCCTCAACTCCTCACTGGTGCGGTCCTTCTGCGGGGACTCTGACATCTACTACGCCGGCGAGTGCCAGATCGGATGGGGCTACATGCTGGCTATCGTCGGAGTCATGCTCACCGTCTTCTTGCCCTTTTTTGCCAAATATGCACCGAAGGAGCAGCTGTCCCCCACCCCTCTGCCCACGCTGTTATAGTGCATTGATAAGACGTCTTGTTCCCCCCCCCCCCTCCTGACCGACCTGGGCTTGATGTCACGGAGAGACACCTGCATCCCGTTTTTTAAAGGTGATGCTGTTTGGGACTCGGCCCGAGGCTGACGCTCAACAACAAACACTGTCTTCCTGCATCTGTTATGTGGCTATTCCAGATTCAGTTCATTTAGATGGAATGTTTTATGTTAAGATTTTACTCCGTGGTTATGATTTCTATCACCAGTTTGACTTCAAGTCAGTTATGGAGAAGATGCAGTCGGAAGATGCGAGGAGCTCATTTTAAATGACTACAAATATATTAACAAGTGTTTTTTTTTTTTCCTTCCTTTCTTTTGTGGGAAACAAGTCAACATGTGTAACATTCCAAAAGAGACTCGAGGTTGGCTGCGTAAAGAGAGTGGAAGCATGAGATGATGTGGCAGTATGACTCGTCCAATTAAACGTTTCAATAAGAGGAGACTGAGAATACGAAGAGGTCGGCTCTGGAGGAGCTGTCTCTACTGATGGGGTGTTGTGCTTTGGACTGTGCTGTCTGGATTAAACAGAGCTGATGTTTGAGGTTTCAAAATGCCATTTTGAAAAGAGAAATCTGATGCTTTGAAAGCTTTTTGCTCCTCAGACTTTTTTTTCTGCCGTCCAGTCTTGTGACCAGGCATTGAACCAGCGGGAGACAAGAAGACGCTTCAGCTTTCAAGGATAGTGCATTTAGTAAGAAGAGGACAATAGACACATCAGACCTGCTGAGAGGACCAATAGAAATCTCTTCTCATGACGAGGACGTGAATCGTACTAATTAGTGGTGGTTTCAGAGCAGTGTTAACAAAAAAAATGTTGGGATACTGCATCCTTTTGTTCACCTTTTCCCCAGAACTGTTTGTGTAGTGTAACCCGCTTGTTCATCATGAAACAATTGTTTTCTGTCTACAACACACAATACTAAACACTCTGATTCAGGAAGAAAAAAAAAAAAAAAAGGTTGCAAAAGGCAGGGAGATGTTGGTGTGACATGGGCTTTGTTAATGGTAGAACAATTGATCTAGATTTTAAATGTGATCTGACCAACTTGTGCCTTTTAACATAACCAAGACAAGTGTTTCATACAATTATCAGGTTATCGTCTTTTTCTGCTGATAAACTGTGGATCCTGGGAGGAGTTTATTTTATTCTGTTTCCTCATCTCAGAGGTGACGTCGTTCTCCTGTACCTGATGCAGTGTGATCTCATTAACTTGAGAAAATGTTCCGGAGGATAAAAAATAGATGATGTCTTCTAATCCTCGGAGGTAACGGCAGAGAGAAAAGGAGAATTAAAAGCAACTTGTGTTCAGTATTGCCCTAGACATTTGTTGCCAATTATCCAGAAGAGGTAAATCACTTGGATTGCTGTATTAAAAGGTTGTGACACGCAGCGAAGGGATTAATTCCCGGCATCCTCGTCTTACGTGATTTCAAAATTGAGTGGTTGAGGAGGGAGCTGTACAAATTAAACTTCGCCTTTTGGTTATCTGTGCTGAGCCGACACATCGTTCACATTATGTGTAAAACGTGGTTCTAAAATAATTTGCTCCTCAAGTAAGCTAATAGTGTTGCTGTGTTTGCGTCGATCCACCTTCTCCTTTTAAGCGCTGGCACCATTCCTGTCATGTTCCAAGGACAAAATGTCTACTTCTCCATTTACACTGCCAATTTCATCAAGCTACACTCCCTGTTCTAGTGGGTGTTCATGTGCGTGTTAGTGTTGAATAATGGGTTGGATTTAGCTAATGGGTTAATCTTTAAGTATTTCCCAAATTTGGTTTCCCAAGTCCTGACATTAAGAAGAGGACTGTGATTGCATTGCCATGTTTGAGAGACATGTTCTGTATTGGACCTCATAGTGTGCTGGACTGTGGGAATGACTGCACGGGACTTCTTCCCCTATTTGTTGACCCATTGAGTGTAAAGTCTCAGCACTGGTGAAACTGTTTTGGTAGAATAGAATTATTGTTTTTTTCCCCCATTGTGATGTTTGACTGTAAATAAACTAACTGTACTTGGTATCACATGTTATTCCTAACTGCCCAGTTTTTCAAAGATATATTTTGAGATATTACCTCATCGTGTTTGCTTTACCTGAATTAACCTCTGAAACAATGTTTGCTGTTCTGTGAATTTTTCTTTGTAATAAAAATATTTCAGAACTTAAAAAAAGAGAGGCTTTACTTTCTGTTCAGGTTTTGCTTAAACAAAACAACTCTTTATGTATTTCTTTGGCAAATGCAAGTGAAATCAACTGTTAAAGTCCAGTACAACATCACAACAGTACAACAGTACAACATCACAACAGTACA